ACTTGGTCTTTTTGTCTGAATTTTCAGAGGTTTTTTGTCGGTTTTTTTGTTTTTAACTTTTAAAGTCCAGTTATTTTATTAGGATTTCCTTGGTAATAACTGTTATGGGTTGATTTTTTCAGTTAAAATAAATATGTAAATCTTAAAATTTCTTCTATTTCAGCAAACTGTTCCTGATTTATAATTTTCATGTTCATTTTTCTTCATTAGGAACTGTTTTGTTAGATCCTCCTCTTTTTTCATTATTTCTTTATCTTTGCTTGTCTTCTCACCTTTCTTTATTTCTGTTTGATTTCCTTCATTTTTCCTTTTCTATCTTTTGATTTTTTTTACTGTATTTTTCTAAGTATCTTTTTTCCCATGTGTTGCTACTTACTAGTCTTTATTTATTAGTGTATTTTTAAAAATAACTCTTTCCTGAGTTCTGTAAGTTCTTCATTCATAGTCATTGGCTATTTAACTATTTCTTCTATTTCTGGTTTATAGTATTCTTTCAACGTGTCTATTGTTTCTTTAATTTCTTTTCTCTCACTTTGTTATGGCATGTGTGATATTATGATTTATATAGTTTATATATAAACACACCTATACAGGTTTTCATCCACAGTTCCTGGATCATGACTCTATAACTCTGGTTACAGTTTTCCTTTATAATGTGGGGTGCTTCATGCCTCTGAAGCAGACCTCAGGAAACAATCTCTCTCTTTGACCTCCTGTCCTCCTCTCCCCTGCCCAAGGCAGGACTCTAACCTGATTATGGGCTAAAAGGCTCTCATTCAGAGCGAGTCCTGCCCCAACACCCTAGAGGAGGGGATGCTGCACAGAGAGGCCAAAAACAAAAACATCTGAGCACACAGGCCTTGCTGGGTTTAGATCATGCACTTTTTGCCCAATCACATTTCTGAATGGTTGTCAATCATGCTTATGTTATGAAGCTGCCATAAAAACCCAAAAGGACAGGGCTGAGAGAAAGCTTCCAGATAGCCGACACGTGGAGGTTCCTGGAGGATGCTGTGTCAGGGGAGGATGTGGAATCTCCACACCCCTTCCCCCATGCCTTGCCCTATGTGTCTCTTCATCTGTATGCTTTGTAATATACTTTAAAGTAAACTGGTAATCTCAAGTGTTTCCCTGAACTGCTTCAGCAAATTAATCAAACCAGAGGGGGTCGTGGGAACCCCGACTTGAAGCCAGTAGGTCAGAAGTTCCAGAGGCTCAGATTTGCAGCAAGGATTTGCCACAAGGGTGTGTTGGTACGGGCAGTCTTGGGGACTGAGCCCTCAGCCTGTGGGATCTGATGCTATCTCCAGGTAACTGTGTGGGAATTGAACTAAAGGTGAATTCGAGGTGAATTAGAATTGAATTAGTTGGTGTCCACTGTTTGTTGATGGGGAACTCCTCCCCAAAAGTATGTGGTCACAGAAGGCTTCTGTGTTCATTGCTGTGATATGACAGCAAAGGAAAAAATGTGATTTGAGTATTTTTCCGAATCAGCGTGTTACAGTTTTCATCTGCTTTTTGTTCACTTTTTCTGGTGTTATTTATTTGTTATCACCTCTTTAATAATAACTTTGTATTTTTTTTTCTGTGTGTCTGCTGTTTAAATGAAATGGCTTTTTCTAGACTATTAGGGGACAGTTCCTGATCAGTGGAGACAAGGGAATGAACTAGGGTCATTCTCTTAGCTTCATCTTTCCTTGTTACTAAGAAGGACTCGAAATACATCATCCCATCCATCTCTCAGTCCTAAGCCTGGCCAAGAAGGTTTCCTGCCTTCAGTCCTGTGTTTCCTAGAGCCTTCCCCTTTAGATGAGTCGTTTCGTTGCTACATGACTTCCCAGGATCGGATTCCTTTGGGCGCACAATCTCCTCCCCACGCCACTTACCTTCTCAACTGTCCAGAGTCATTTCCCAGCTCAATGTGTCTGCTTCTGGCAGTTTCCCCCTCAGGATGAGACTACATTTCTGGAAAGGGATATTAGTTAGATATTTTGGCGATCATCAAGGGTTTACTCTACTGTCTCATTGCTGGGTCTTTCGTGATGCCATGTGCAGGCTCCTGCTTTCACTTGCAACTCTGAGCACTTCAGAACTTGTAGTTTCACAGTTATTCTCAGGCTTGTCCACACAGATTTTTATTCCAGGTGAGGCCTTCTTTTGAGGGTGAGTCTTTATGGGTGATCTTGGGTTCTATAGCTTATAGGGCTTGTCAGAGGTTTGCATTGAGCCCACTAGTCTGTTTTCCTGTTTCTGCCACCTTGCACCATCTGAATTCCAGTGATTCTACCCTGCTCAGTTACTGCCACCTCTCCACAGCGGATTGCCTTTAGATGCCATTGTCATATGTGGTTTTGACTACACTCACCAGTACCCTATCACCTAGCATTTACAATATATAATCTATGCATATTTTGACACTATTCTTTTTTTTCTTTTTTTTTTTTTTTTTTTTTTTTTTTTTTTTTTTTTTTTTTTTTTTTTTTTTTTTTTTTTTTTTTTTTTTTTTTTTTTTTTTTTGAGATGGAGTTTCGCTCTTGTTACCCAGGCTGGAGTGCAATGGCGCGATCTTAGCTCACCGCAACCTCCGCCTCCCGGGTTCAGGCAATTCTCCTGCCTCAGCTTCCCAAGTAGCTGGGATTACAAGCACGCGCCACCATGCCCAGCTAATTTTTTGTATTTTTAGTAGAGACAGGGTTTCACCATGTTGACCAGGATGGTCTCGATCTCTTGACCTTGTGATCCACCTGCCTCGGCCTCCCAAAGTGCTGGGATTACATTTTTACACTATTCTTAATTTTCTATTTGGTTTTCTGGAGCAGTTTTGAAAAGATTGAGAAACTACACTGCAACAATAATCTCACTAGGACCAGAACTCAGGATCAATATTTTTTATAGAATGTGGAAGAATGAAGCTCCCATATATTCTTTATAAAATCTTATAATTTTATAAAGTGAGTTTTCTAAAAATCTTAAAGGTCACAGAGTTGAATACCCTCCTGTAATAGGAAAGGTAATTGAGGTCTAGAGAGTGAAAAAGACTTTCTCAAAGCCCGTGTAACAAGCCAAGTATGAAATATAGCTTTCACAGAATCTTGGTGTTAGCAGGAACCTCTGGGCATGTAGTCCATCTTCTTACCCAGCATACAGAATTCTCTAGGAAGAGAGGCAGCCAATATCCCCTTGAATATATATATATATATATTTTTTTTTTTTTGAGAAGGAGTCTCACTCTGTCACCCAGGCTGGAGTGCAGTGACTCAATCTCAGCTCATTTCACTGCAACCTCTGCCTTTTTTTTTTTTTTTTTTTGAGAAGGAGTCTCACTCTGTCACCCAGGCTGGAGTGCAGTGACTCAATCTCAGCTCATTTCACTGCAACCTCTGCCTCCTGGGTTCAAGTGATTTTACTGCCTCAGCCTTCTGAGTAGCTGGAATTATAGGCATGTGCCACCACGCCCAGCTAAGTTTTGTAGTTTTAGTAGAGACAGGGTTTCACCATGTTGGTCAGGCTGGTCTCAAACTCCTGACCTCGTGATCCGCCCATCTCAGCCTCCCAAAGTGCTGGGATTACAGGTGTGAGCCACCGTGCCCGGCCCCCTTGAATATCTTAAAGTAGGAGATGTCTAACTCAACCATTTCCCCACGTGGTAAAGACAAACTTATCTTTTCACTTTTTTCCTTTTTGAAAAGTATAAATGGACACAGACAAGGATGAATTGATGCAGGTGTCACTGTGTTTGTTCCCTGTTTCCTCTCGATTTAGAAGCTGACTTGGAAGCACCTCGAGGTTGATTCACAGTCTGAGTTGGAAACAATCTTCAAGTTCATCTAGTCTAGTGTGATTCATTAGTCTATGCTTAAACACGCCTGGCAGCTCACTCTTGTTATCAATTTTTCGGGAGTTCTTCCTAAAGTGAGATGATGCTTATGAGCGTATTTGTGGATTACGCAACATTGTGTAAATCTAAGATTGTCAGATTTCTTATATGGAATGGAATTTCCTTCCCTTTAACTTCTAAGCATTGTTCTTGGTTCTGCCCTCTGAATCTATGCAGAATAACTCTCATTACTCTTGTACTTTGCAATGCTTGAAACGCTGGAAGACAGCTATTGGGCTCCTTCCTCATGGCTAAGGCTTATCTTTTTCCATGTTTATAAACACAGCCAGCACTTTTATTCCTCTTGTGGCATTGTCTCCAGTTCTCCCAGCAATCTGTTTAATCTCCTTTTAGCACACTAGAGCTTATTAATGTTTCTCTTAATATGTCAAAAATAAACAGAGTTGTACTAAACGTTCTTTGACTCAGCATCACACTTATATCAGCACAGTGTAAGACAGTAAGTCATTCCAGTGCTTCTTATTAAGTCTGATTTGTTTCCAGCTTGCATTCAACTAAAAACACCTAATATTTTCCAGTGAACTTCTAGTAAAGCAGTTCTCTCACTTCTTGGGCGTGTGGGTAGTTGATATTTTTGGTCCCAGATGTAGGAAAATAGCTTTGTAAGCTCCAACACAAATCCCAGCAGAACTCCAGTGGCTTCCTGAACCTGGGGACCTTGACTCTTTTGGGCATCAAGGTTCTCTCTGACATGCTCTGTACCTTTCTTGAGATTTAATTCTTCTTTGGCTGTATCTGCTCTATTCCTTTGCATTTGAATATCATGCTCTTAGATAGAGAAGTCCAAAGAAAAGTAGTGGGTCAACAATCCCCTTCTCACTCTTGGTAATAATTTCTACCACTTTCTGCCACTCCCCTGGCACCACTGCTGTTTCCTGTTTCCCACTATCTGAACCCATATATCATTGAGTACCCAAGCAGTGGTGCATGCTGTCCTCGTTCTCCTGTTTACTTTTTTTCCTTATTAATACAGTATTTGTCTTTTCTCTGTCAAACCCTGAGCCAATCATGTTCTCCAGGCCACCCAGGGAGGTATAGGAAAAGGAACACACAGGGCCACCAGACATGGGAGAAAGAACTATGGGAGGTGGAGGAGGCTCCTTCACAAGGCGAAGAGGATGAGAAAGACCTCCATCAGGCAAAAGAGCTCCAAGGCCTCCCAGAGGGCAAAGCCCAGAAGAGTGTAGGAGAAGAGCTGCCGCTTCAGAGAAGTGTCCCTGGCATAACCAATGACAAGTCTCCCAAACACAGTCCCAATCCCAGCCCCAGAGCTGGCCACTCCAATTACGGCAGCCCCAGCCCCAATGAACTTGGCTGCTGTGTTGATGTCCCTTGAAATGGTGCTGGTTTGGAAGCTGTGGCTAGGGACAAGTGAGGTAAGGAGACATGAGACGGCCAAGCTGCTGAGACTCCTATCTGTCAGTGTCTCCGGTTGTTTCAACACCACTGAGGATAGTGGATGGCTCAGCAGCTGTGAGGTGCTCTTGACCAAGGAGGGAGTGGAGACGAACTTGGAGCAAGCATACATTTTCAGTGGGTGAGGGGCTGTGGCAGAAGAACGGCTCCTGGTGCAGAGAAGACCGAGAAGACGCTCCTGTTTAAGCATACGTTGTAGACTCAGGAGGAGGGAATGATTAGGAAGACATAAATTGGGTGGTGTATATTGACCCTCTTTAAGAGGCAGATATCTGCTGTCAGCACATCTTGACATGCATTCCCTGTCCACTCATTATCCAGGACAGCACCTTTATATCTTCTAACACCCTGTATTTCCTTATCTATGAAACAGGGATATTTTTTGTGATAACCTGCATTTCCTTTGTAGGATAACCTACATTTCCTTAGAACCTTCCTAGTAATATAACTGATTTTTTCTCACTCCCCTATTTACCATGTAGACCTTATCTATTGAAGCCAGATGCTAAAGAAGACCCCCACCCTAGTGTGTATTTTCAAGTGCTGGCTGGCCAGTTTCTATCAAGGATCCACTAAACTAATGAGAGTCTCAAAAATAAACATAATGCAAAACAAACACTTGGAGAGAAATGTTAAGTTAATTTTTAAGTACGTTCCTATCGTTTTTCCTGATAATGCCCAAGTACTGGTCATAGGATGTGTTTTTATGTTGATAAGGGAGAGTGGAGGCTACGAAAAGGAAATAGCACTAAAAGATGAGAAAAAGGGAGACGCATGAACTGGTCTATGAGCTGGGATTCAGACAGCACATTTCCCACTTCCAGAATTATGGTGAACACCATGAGGTCAATACATGTTACCGAGAGAGAGATGTATTTTCATATTTAGTCACTGTTGAATGAATATAAATATATACATAGACTTCTGTATACTTTTGTACATTCACGTACTCTATCTCTGTTTGAAAGATCAAATATTCCCATTACCCATCACAGAATTTCTCTAACTGCCCATCACCACTCTCATCTACTTCCCGATTCTCTTAGAACCTGAGTTTTCTGTTTATCAAATCTTCTGTTTTTCTTTATTATTTTATGACCTATATTCTTCCTTCTAAACAATATATTAGTCTTGCATGTTTTTTAACTTTACATAAGTGGAATTATACTGTATATTTCTTTGCCTTGCTTTTTTGTCTGTTCAATTTCATATTCTTGAGATTCATTTATGTTGCTGTATATTGCTATAGTTCATTTATTTCTACTGGTATATAGTATCACATTTATTCAGCAACATATTATCCATTCTATTGTTGTGGACATTTGGATTGTTTCTAATATTTTTTTCATGACAAAGAGTGCTAGGATTAATATTTCTATGCATGCCTCCTGGTGGTATGGACCAGAGTTTCTGTAGATGTATATCAAGGAATAGACTTGCTAGGTCAAAAGTTATATGTATTCTTAAGTAAACTGAGTAATTCTAAGTTTAAAAAAAGGTCACCAATTTTCATTTTTATATACTGTGTATAAGGCTTCTGATTGAAGTCACATCCCTGCCAAACTTCAAATAGTCAAACTGTTTAATTTTTGCCAATCTATTGAATATGAAATATTTCCTTATGGTTTCAATTAGCATTTACCCATGAATGAGGTTAAGTGTTTTGTTTTATGGTTTTCTTCATTTCTAGTTCTTTTTCTTCTTGTAGTTTATTCATTTTAATGGATGTTTGGGTGGTTCTTGAGACATTTTTTAATAGATTCTGTATACTAATTATTTGACAATTATATGTGTGAAACAATTTTTATTTCCCTTTGAAAAATCAAACTTCTTAATTTTAATCTAGTTTCACTGGGTGGTTTGTCTATGCATGAGATAATACATCTCCCCAGTTTCTGTCTTGCCTGTTTATTTATGTAACAGTTAATTCAATGAGCAAATGTTTTTAATTTTGATATCTGGTTTATTAGTTACTTCCTTTTATAATTATTGATTTCAATATCTAAGAAATTTTCCAACTTCAGAAAATATCTTACTATTTTCTTCAAAAATCTTTTCAATTTTTGCTTTTAATTTTACATCTGTTATTTGTTTTGTATGGTGAGGTAAGGGTTTGGAGTTCATATTTTTCCCACATAGATATTCAGTTGACTGAGCACAATAGTGGAAAATACATTTTTTGTTTGGTGGTGGTGGTTGTTATTTTTATTGTTGTTGTTGTTTTTAAAGATGGAGTCTCACTCTGTCACCCAGGCTTGAGTGCAGTGGCCTGATCTCGGCTCACTGCAACCTCCACCTCCTAGGTTCAAGCAATTCTCCTGCCTCAGCCTCCTGAGTAGCTGTGATTACAGGTACATGGAGCCCCCACACACCATGTCAAGATAACTTTTGTACTTGTAGTAGAGATGGGGTTTCACTACGTTGGCCAGGCTGGTCTCAAACTTGTGACCTCAAGTGATCCATCTGCCTTGGCCTCCCAAAGTGCTGGGATTACAGGCATGAGCTACTGCACCAGCAAGCTGAAAAACTTTTTTCTATTGAATCATTTCAGTGTCTTTATCAAAAAGCAGTTGACTGTATCATTGTGGGTTTATTTTGAATTACCTATTCTGTTTTGGTAGTTTTCATCCAATATGTCTTCATTTTGTTTTTCTGCCCCATTCTCTGTCTCTTCTTCTGGGTTTCCAATTACACATATATTAGACTGCTTAATATCTTTATACAGGTCTCTAAAGCTTTGTTTCTTTTTATTCAATATTTTTTTCTCCGTTTCTCAGCTTGTGTAATTTCCTTTGTTCTAGTTTTATGTTTATTGACTTTCCTCTACCAACTTCAATCTGCTATTAAACCCATTTAGTGAATTTTTCATTTTAGTTAGAGTATTTTTCTGCTCTAAAATTTTCATTTTGTTCTCTTTTATAGGTTTGATTTCTCTAATTATATTCCCCATCTGTTCATTATGACTATATCTTCCTCTAAGCTCTTAAGCATATTCATAATAGCTGCTTTAAAGTCTCTGTCTTCTAATTGCAACATCTGCATCATCTTGGAGTTGGGGTCTTTTGACTTATTTTAATCTTGGTTATTGGTTATTTTTTTCTATTTCTTTCACATGTGTATTGATAATTGATTGATACTGGACATTATGAAAATTGTATAGAGTCTGAATTTTGTTATTTTCCCCTGAAGAATTATTTTTGTTAACTATATTGGACTTGAAACTCCAAATTTTGTCTCTCCTGAAGTTGACAGAAGCTTAAATCTCTCCTTAATTCTTTCAGCTTCCCCTGCTTTCCTCAATGTGTGTGTGTTGTTTTCTTCTTTTCTATTTGTCAGACTTCCTTCTGGGATTTTCCCTAGGCAAATTGCCAAAGATTCAGGTGGATTTTATGTGCAAGTTTTAGGGTTCATTCCTCTGTGGAATTTTGTTAGTATATAATTATATCATTAGCAAACAGAAATAATTTGACTTCCTCTTTTCCTGTTTAAATTTTTATTGCTTTCTCTTGCCTGATTGCTCTGATTAGGACTTCCAGTATGATGTTGAATAGGAGTGGTTTAAATGGGCATTCTTGTCTTGTTCCAGTTCTTACGGAGAATGCTTCCAACTTTTACCCATTCAGTATGAAATTAGAAGTGGGTTTGTCATAGATGACTCTATTTTGAGGTATGTTCCACTGATACCTAGTTTTTTGAAGGCTTTTATAATGAAGCAACATTTAATTTTATCAGTATTTTTCTGTGTCTCCGGAGATGATCATACATTTTTCATTTTTAATTGTTTATGTAGTGAATCACATTTATTGATTTGTGTATATTGAACCATCCTTGCATCCCAGAAGTGAATTATTTTTTTGCTGTGTTGTTGGATTCAGTTTCCTAGTATTTTGTCAAGGATTTCTGTGTCTAGGTTCTTCAGGAATATTGGCCAATAGTTTTCTTTTTTTGTTGCGTTCTTGACGGATTTTGGTATCGGGATGATGCTGCTTTCAAAGAATGAGTTAGGAAGAAATGCCTCCTCCTCAACTTTTTGGAATAGTTTCAGTAGGATCGGTACTATCTTTTCTTTGTATGTCTGGTAGAATTCATCTGTGAATCTATCTGGTCCCAGGCCTTTTTGTTAGTAAGTTTTTATAACTGATTCAATTTTGTCATTTATTATTGGTTTGTTCAGGGTTTCAATGTCTTCCTGCCTTGATCTTTGAAAGTTGTGTATTTCCAGGAATTTATTCATTTCTTGTAGATTTTCTAGATTATGTGCATAGAGAAGTTCACAGTAGTCTCTGCAGGTCTTTCATATTTCTGTGTGAGATTAGTTGTGATGTTGCCTTTGTCATTCTTGATTGTGATTATTTGGATCTTCTTTTCCTAGCTTGTGGTCTATCAATCTTGCTTATCTATTAAAAAAAATCCCTTTCTTTTTGTTGATCCTTTGTATGGTTTTTTTAGTCTCACTTTAATTTAGTTCTGCTCTGATTTTAGTGACTTTTTTTCTTCAAGTTTTGGGTTTAATTTTTTCTTGTTTTTCTAGTTCCTTTAGGTACAGTGTTAGGTTGTTAATTGAGATCTGTCTAATTTCTTGATGTAGGCATTTGGTGCCACAAACTTTCCTCTTAACACCGTTTGGTCATATCCAAGAGCTTTTTGTATGTTATGTCTCTATTTTCATTTGTTTCAATGAATTTTCTTATTTATGCTTTAATTTCATTGTTTACCCAAAAGTCATTCAGAAGCAAAGTGCTGAATTTTCATGAATAGAGGAAACATTTTAAAAAGCTATCTAGCAGAATGCTTCCTCGTTCCTAAGGAACTCACTTCCTGGTTCCTCAACTGCTTCTGATGTTTCTTCTTACCCCCCCGAAAAAAAAATTACTGTGTACAATAATCTTTTAATTAAAGCATGGCATTGTAGGTGCTGAGTGAAAGCCTGCCATTATTTGTTGCTGCTGTTGTTTAGCAGCTGATGCAGGTATTCTGGTGATTCTACTGTGCTGCTTGGTTACCCTGAATGGATTATTATTTTCTCTGTGTTAATGGTATGTTATATTTTTTACTGTTAAGTACTTATGTGAGAATAAGTGTAAGAAAATGATTGCTTATCAACAGCAAATAAATTCAGAGTCAGGAATAATAATGATGCCAAACAGCCACAGATTGTCCATATAG